ATTAGCTCTAGACATGGAGTAGTCCTAATAGAAGATAAAAGAAAAGAAAGCCGAGTACATTTAGCATGAGAACAAGCTGAACAATGAGACAAAGAAGAAGATGGTTTGCTGATTTGCATTTCTTTGGAAAGAAAATATTGAGTAGCGGTAGAAGGATGACCCAAACGTTGATGCTAGAGTGTAGAAGAGACATAGGTGGCATTGAGAGCAGCGATGGAAGCTGTGGTGGACGACTTAGAAAGCAGTGTAGAGGAGCTAATAAGGTAGAGTCCTTGTTGACTGGGCCCTCTGAGGAGAATCCGGTTGGTCTGAGAATCCTTTATGTCATAATCATTAGAATCAAAACAGACAAAACAAGGATTATCTTTAGTTAGTTTATGAATAGAAAGAAGATTATGGGATAAGTGTGGGACATGAAAATTTTTGGATAAATGTAGCTCACGAGAGGGTGTTGGAAGAAGCCCTTGTCCGGTGTGAGCAATGGGTAGAAGCTGTCCATTTTCAACTGAACTTGAGATCCACCTGAGTACAGTTGAACCTACTGAAGTTGAGAAGCATCAGATGTAAGATGATTGCTAGCTCCAGAATAAAAAAAACAATTAGCAGAGGTTTGATTTTCAGTTGCCAGATATGCTTGGGGCAATGACTAATACGAGGTATCATGTCGATACAAGCAATTTATGGCAGAATGACCAGATTTACCACAAATCTGGCATTCAATGGAGGATCTAGGTGGTCGACCACCACAAGCAGAAGTATTTGTTGATCGGCCAAAACCAAAGTCAGAGCGCCCGCGACCTCGTCAGGAAGAGGGAGACTGACCATGACCAGGAAACTGATAGTATCCTCGATCACGTGATCATCCTCTAGTGGTGGCTAGAGCAAAGGACTATCTGAGGAGGGTGGAGTATAAGTGGCTAGAGCTGTTTCAGTGGCAATGTTAAGCTCCTCACTACATAAAAACGAATAGAAGTCATCAAGATTGATCGGTTGTAATTGAGTACAAATGACAATCTTGAATGCTTGATATGTCGGTGGCAATCCATTGAGCGTGTAGAGTATTATGTCTTCAGTGTCAATAGAGGAACCGACAGCTGTAATAACATCAATTTTCTGCTTGATAGCCAACAGGTATTGAACCATTGGTAGGTCTTTCATTTGGATTTGATGCAATTCATTTTTCAACTGTTGTAGACTTGATATATTCGAAGATTGAAGGAGACGCTCAATGGTAATCCAAATCTCATGACAATTATTGTTGACTGTAACCGTTCATCCCTACCGACATACCCAAACGACACAGCCGCTCAGTTGCCGACTTACCCACCGCCTCTCTCACGAAATAAAACAACAGGGAGGGACATATTGTAGAATAAATGGCAGCAACAAGATTTTGATCAATTAAAAACTAGGAGTGAAACAGAGGGTTGGGAGAGAAACTGCCATCCGAATTCTTCACTTGTTTGGAAGGTTTAGTAGCCGAACTAGTGAGATAGGATTCAAAACCATTAGCTGAGAACAACTTGAAGATTTGAGCCTTCCAACTGGATAGTTTTCCGTAGAAAGCTGGACGTTAACTAAGGTTTTAACTGTGGACATAAAGAACTTAAGCTTAGGTGGTATAGTGACATCACTGTCGGTGGTGTGAGTATGAAGAGTAGCGGAGGAAGAAGATGAATCCGCCATAGTAGGAAAATATTATCCTGAAAGCTCTGATACCATGTTAGAATCCTGCAAAACAGAGGAAGCAAAAACTAGAAACAAATGAGACTAGCAAAGAACAGAGATAACAGAGAAATGTTCTTCATCTTTCTTAGCGTGAAATGCTACAGGAGTTTAGTATATATTCTCAGAGTTTGTTAGCAAGGAAAGGCCCAGATTTAAGTGCAGATATCCAACGGTTAAAAATAAAGAAAACTGCTGTAATGAAAACTAGTGGCGCAATGCACATGGAGCTAAGCCGACATTTTTATTGCTGCATCTGCTTATCAATAGCTCTTATCTTATCAGATCTATCTATTTCCTTCAGTTATTTTTTATAATGAGATAGTTTAGATTAAAATTGGTGGATATCAATATATGTTACATAAAAAGATAGATTTTCATTTGATGTCTCATTTGTCACTTTGTAGGATCGCCAACAATTATGCCCCAAGTATGTTAGATGGATATCTGATAAACAATTTATCACAGCCAAATATTTTCAAGCAAGAAATGATGCATTTATCAAGTGATTATCTTAATAAGACTTTATTTTTTGGGGGCTTCAGCAATCTACTAATTACTCTTATCAAGAATTATAGTAATCTACTAGGATTATATCATTCAACAACTTAACACAGGACTAAAGCGTCGTTGGGAGTGTAGCATATTATTCCGCTGTGCTTGTGATGTATACTTGGCCTTTGATTTTTTTAGCCATTGAATTTCTATAACTTAATTTCTTTGTCTACCAATTTTATGTAGTGTAAGAGTTTATAAATAAGGGTGTTCTAAGTCATGCAAAAACAACTTTGGCTTGAATAAAATTTCTGTTTTGTGGATGTGAAGTTTTCTTCATTCTTCCAGTATTTCAATTCGTGATCAAGTGTAAAACTTGAAGCATATCAAATAGACGATCTCTTTGTTCAAGTGATAGGCTTGGAATATGGTTTATTACTTTCCTTTATATCCTCTTATTTCTTTTATTTGATGTTAAATTGATAATGCAATTTGCAAAATTTTAGATTTCATATATATTTAGCTTCATTTATACGTGTGATGTCTAAATTTTTGTAATTTTCATGGTTCTGTTTCATGGCTGGTTTCATTAGGTGATACATTTTTTCATTGAATCTTTTTATATCTGTAAAAAATATCACACAACACGTCATCAACTACATATTCTTTTAATAGATTATTAATATAAAATACATAATCGAAGCACTTACTGTCAATATTTTCTAGCAAAAAATATAAAGCTTAAGGTTCAACAGAAGAAAAACTGAAATTGGTTTAATTATGATTGCAATTCAATATTTTATCAAGTATACCTACCTCCAATAACACACCAACATTAGCATTAATTATTAGGCATGATTTAATATTGCACAATCTATACAAAATATCAAAAACTCAAAAAAGAGTATATAATGTTCAATATAATTTCAAAAAGTATGAAGACATTGATGTAGCATTAATTGGACTTGACAAACTCGGCATTTGGACACCCATTGATAGTCCAACCTAAATAAAAAATTTATTGAACTAAAAATAGATTAAGAATGTCCTGTCCATGACAACATATGTCAACAGTGTTTGACCCTAATTTTAGAATAAAACGCATTCAATACAATTTTTAGCATATCAAATTCGTGTTAGATACCTATCATATTCAACAGAGACAAAAGGCTTTTGATGTACCCACACGCCTCATGGATAAAAAGCAAACTTCACATATCTTCTCATTTAATTGAGTATTATTTTGTATATTATTTATTCATTAAAAATCCTAGGCCTTAAGATGTTCTACTTACTGAGTTTTACTGATAAGCGAAGGTCCCGGAGCCACTTGAAACTTAAACCGGAGCTAGGCACAATAACAGGACGTATAATGATTATGGTAGTTGAAATCTTATATTAAGGCTATTCTCTAGGTGTGATCAAGTTCTTAGTCATTCCTAAGCTCCAAGTTCCAATTAGAATTGCATGAGAAATTAAACATCTTGGTAAGGTTTTTTATATGGTAAAATATGTGTGAAGATAAATTTGGTGTATGCTTTTATATGATAAAAAGATAATAGTCATGGATGTTCTCACTAAACATTTGCAAGAGGATTTACTTTGGTGTATGCTTTTTGTTGATGATATTCTTCTTGTTGATAAGACTAGAGAGGGAGTTGAAGGTAAACTTGAATTATGGAGGTCAACCTTAGAGTTTAAAGGTTTTCGCTTGACTAGATCTAAAACTGAATATATGGAGTGTAATTTTAGTAGTAATTGACCTAGTGAGGGGTTTGTGACTTTGGATGATAAAGTCATTAATAAGAGTACACGTTTTAGATATCTTGGATCTATTGTTCATAGTGATGGTGAAATAGGTGGGGATATTATCAGCAGAATTCAAGTTGGATGGTTGAAGTGGAGGAATGCATCGGGCTTGTTGTGCGATAGAAATGTCCCCCTCAAACTTAAGGGAAACTTGCAAAACTTTATGGTGCCGAATGTTGGCTATTAAAAGAGAAGTATAATACTAAGTTAAGTGTTGTAGATATGAGGATGCTCAAGTCGATGAGTGGCTTTACCCTTAGAGATAGGATACGAAATGAGCATATACATGAAAAGGTTGGAGTAGCTCCAGTGTAAAATAAGATTAGAGAGTCACCTTAGATGGTTTGGTCACATAAAACGGCAGGCTTCTGATGATCCGATCAGAAAAGTAGAGGTTTTAGATTTGAATTATGTTAAGAAATGTAGAGGTAGACCTAAAAAGACTTGGTTAGAAAATATTAGAAATGACTTTCTTTATTAGATTTAAATGAGAATTTGACTTTTAACATGACACAATGGAGAAAAAATGATTAATGTAGCCGACCCCACGTAGTGGGACAAAGGCTTGATGTTGTTATTGTTGTTGTAAAACATGTGTTGTTTTTCTGAAAATAAAAATCTAACTTGAGTATGTTTATATATATAACTTGAGTATGTGTTTTGCGTTGCAGTAAAAGCTGGTGTCAAAGAAAGCCACACATATCCTAAGTTTATGGCCTTTAATTATATGTTCTTTATGAACTTAACCAAACTCCTTTTCCTGTCATTCTACCCTGCAACTTCACCCCTAGCACTTGAACACACAAGGACCTAAATAAAAAAGGAGAAGGCTATAAACCTGAACTCATCAAACAAAGGTTTCTATTATTGAGAAGTTCTTTGGGAGTATTAACTATGAATCAATCCTCTTTAACCAGGCAGATCTTTTAGCAAAGGTGCTATCTCAGAGATGAATCTTCTTTGTTTTCCAGGTTCAAAGATCTGTACAGATTATCAGGGACAAGCAAGAACTTGCCGATGCCCAGAAGGAGCTGACCAAATTTCATCTCTCTCAGAAGGAAACTGGCAATTTAAGCCTTTCCCAGAGAACCAATAAGGATATTACTGCAGGAACTTCTGACACCAAACCTCAAAATGATAACAAAGACGTGGCAAACCTGCAGTTAACTCTTGCTCTTCCGAACCAAATATCCTCAACACACCCCATTAAAGCTGCTGATCAAAACCTACCCCACAAAGAGCTTCCTTTGCAGCAGCCTGCACCTCCACAAGATCGACACATTCTAAATCAAACAAGTGTATACTACACACAGCACCACGAACCTCCACCCCCACCTCTGTCTGTACCTCAAGCGCAGCATATCCAGCACCTGCAATCTGAGCTATATGTGCCGCAAAGAGCTCAAATGCAAAATCTCTCTCACCGAGCACCACCACCGCAGCAACCGACATTCTCTCAATACCAGCAGCAATGGTCTCAACCAGCGCCACCTCAACAACCTTCTTCACCTAGCCAAGTTCTAAAGCCACAAACTCCACCCACCTATCCCCCATATACTCCTTATCAACCTGCCATTACTGAATCATTCCAAAGCAGCAGCATGCCCCCGCCCGCTCCATACTCGTCTTTTCCACAATCAGTCGGATATGGAGTTACAGGCAGCAGCATTTCCCATCCACCACCTCCGCATAACATGCAGCGGCACCCGCCACTGCCGCCACCGCATGCTAAGAGCAGTCATATCGGAGCCAACCCGTATCCACCTCAGTCGAATATGCAGGGCTATAATCCAGTATTTGCTATTGATGGAGACAGAGCTTCTCATCAACAGAGCTACCACACAAATTTAAGCACACCAGCTTCACAGATGATGCGCAATCACCCCTATGGAGAGATTATTGAAAATGCCATTATTATGGGTTATTCAAGAGATCAGGTGGTTAACGTTGTGGACCTGATGGCAGAGACAGGTAAGCCTCTAGACTTCAATGCTTTGCTTGATGAGCTGAATATGCATGCTAATGGAGGGCCTCCTCGGGCATGGTCCCGCTAGAGGCATTATCTTATATAGTGATTATTTGTACGTTTCTTATAAGTACTCGGGGTGGTATGCTGAGAGTGCTTTTATCATGTAAATATTTAACTTGAACTGTCGTGCATTTTTTTCTATAATATTTTCCATGTTTGTTGGGATGTGTGAATTGCACCACAAATTTTACAGTATTGAGAAAGTAGTAAATACAAAGAGTTGATGATGTTGAACTGGTCAGTTTCACATTGTTAGCACCGCCGCTTAGTTTGTTGATCATTTGTTTGATCCAAACGGTCTAATGAAGATGAAATTATTTTGTGCGAGCGCTGAACATCATTCGGAGACCAATCAGAATGATTTACATTGGTACGACGGCTCGGTACCGCTTGGTACTACATCTCGGTACCGCGCTCGGTATTGCTAATGTAACTCATTTTGGTTTGTCTCCGAATATAGAGCTACGTTCGACATCTGCACAGAATAATTTCTCCTTATGAAATGAGGCGAGAAGGACTAATGATTGTTGTGGGAGATTTACATATATATGCTATTGACATTTTCTTTATTTTTCAAATTTTTTAGTATGGCTGTGATATGGGCATCACTTTTTTTTTTAAAGGGAAATTATCTAAAAGTCCGCGAGTTCACTTGGCCCTATCATTAGCTTTTATTAAATTTTATCATTGCTTTCTGACTCCTCACATTTTATATTTCGTTTTTGGTTGTATTTCCTGCCTACACTATGTTGTTACTAGAGAAAAATTCGGGCTATCTATTGAACCTTTTCCAATCTCTCTCTCTGGCTATATTTGTGACAGCTTTTTTACTATTTTTTAAAGCAATTTCGTAATACAAAAATGTCTTAAATTAAAAATTTTTATATTAAAAAGCTGCTTTAAAAAGCTATAAGAAGTTGTCCCAAAGAAAGCCTTAGTTGTTCTAGAACTGGCTAGACTACTTGATGCCACCTTTGCTTCCTACCATCAGGTTGAATCTAGCTCTCCTTTGAATATGATTGTTGAAATGAAAATTTTGGTTATTCGAGAATTGAGCATGATCCACTGAACTGGAGATATGATTAACAGAATGTTAGAACTAAGAATTACACAGTTCAATTTAATTATTGATATCTTGAATATGGTAATTTAAATGATAGATTCAACTATTCAAAATTAAAGCAAGGTCATTGGCTTGTTGATCTAGCATTTAAAATTTTAGAGTCGGAAATCATGCAATCGAGGCTCGATTTTATTTGAGATAGTTTCTTTATTGTTTTTTAAAGCAAATTTTTAATATAAATCTGTTTATTAACAAAAAAATTTGTTTTAGAAGACAGTAAGAAAGCGGTCTCAAACGAAGCTTGAATCTAGTAATTGATTTTTTGAACATGATTATTGAAAGAGTGAATCAATAATTCAAACTCTAAGCAAAGTAATCAACCTGGTGATTTGGTTAACAGTAGCTTAGAAGTGGCTATTGATTGTTTAAATCTAGTTACTAATATTTTGAATATGGTTATTGATGGAAGAACCCTTATAATAACCCCTCCACAATCCAGTTTGGCTCAACTGATTTCCCATCATTTGAGGTCCCTAATTAAGATTTTGTTTGAGATAGTTTTCTTATTGTTTTTTAAAGCATTTTTTTAGTATTAAAATTTTATTAAAAAATATTTTAAAAAAAATATTAAGAAAGTTGTTTTAAATGAAGCTGAAATCTTGATCAAAATTGAAATCTTAGGGCATCACGTAAAACGGATGGGCCAAGGGGAGGGGATGCTGTGAATGTAAATAGATTGTTATGTGCGGAGCCGGACCCAAAAAACAGTTCGGTTTTGTAATTGTGAACAAGAAAAGTGCAGTGATGAACAGTAACTGCGCTTTTACTGTTCATAATCATAAAATCGAACGATTCTATGAATCAGGACTCCGCACAAACACATGAGTGTGGAGATAAAATATCATAAAGAGTTCATGAGCTAGATTTCTCATATATTTTGGACGTCTCGAATGAAGAGAGATAGTGACATCTAGTTTGACTTAATGGAGACCCACACTTTCAAAATGCAAAAATTACGATGGGACAAGAACACAGGCGAGGGTGTTCAACGATGGGCGTTCATGTATGGGAGGTTGCAAATTGCATGAGGCAGCAAGGGTTTTGATGCTCATTTTGTGGCTTGAATTGAAAGCGAGGAAGAAAGAAACAATTAATGGGTCACATGGATTGTATATCTTCATCATTTGCGTAAGATAAAATTTTTATTTTATTTTCTTTCTTCAGTCATAGCAACTCAAGGGTTATCATTAGGGTTTAAATTAAGATATTTTATGCAACAAATATTTCTTGCATATAAACCCATAAACCCCCAACTGTTGTTATCTATTGCGCTCCAATCTTCCTCAACAACCATTCTCCACTTCATCCCGCAACTTCCAAACCAGCTACAACAAACCACCCCATTCCCTTCACTCATCAAGCCTATAAATCCAACCCAAAACAGCCCACTGCTAGCAAACTCCACCTACCATACACGCCTTATTTGGCATGGTGGGAAGGCCCGACTCCTGAGATTTCCCCTAAACGAGAGAGATGCTGGGAAGCTGTGAAATTCAGAATGCATGGAACCTGATTTGAACAAAATGACACATGAATTAAAAAAAAATAATAAGGAACTGAATTTGTATATTATCAAACCACAGAGAAATTTATATTAAACTAATAAATCTACAATCACACTAAAAATACAAACGCTAAGTAATAATCTAAATCATTTAGTTAAATATCAATATGCAAGTAAAGGATATGTTGTTTTCAACATGACTTGTTTGCAAGCAATGAAATTGAGAGAAATGCATTATTTACAAACAGACGTATGAAATCCCTAAATAATATTGTAAATCACATACAAGTGATAACATTTAACATGTAACGTTCATATCAATCAACAATTAAATATAGTGACCTATATAAGCAAGATTTAATAAGCACTAGTCCCTTATGAATGATGAAATTAAAGTGATTTATAGCATTCAACTGACCAATCAATAAGTAGACATGAATGACTCTTAAGTACGATAAATCTATAATGTATACGAGCTCCTACAAACTGTTGTGGATTTCTTCATGCATAGAACAACTGACCAACAAGATAAATAGGTGATGATAGAAGTCTTGCAACACATGCAATGCTCTCATTTATAAGTAATAATGAAATGTATATAAGTGAACATAATAGCTCACTAATCAACATGCATGAGGAGGTTAGTGAATAATGCAACGACATCCTGTAGCCAATACCAGTACAAAAACAAGCATATCAAATCTTGCAAGCACTGAAAGACATGGCATGATAGTCGTAATGAGCATAAGTAACATGTTTATAAGTGAGGTATGAAGAGTGTAACAGTGAGTGTAATTGCATGCTTACAATAAACATTGATTAACGTACAAATGAGTACACCAATCTCATATGAATGCGACGCTAATATGCAATGAGCATAATAACTCACAGTCAACATGCATGAAAAAATTAGTGACGAACGTAGTTTGATCGGCGGGAAACATGGGCTTAAAAATGAGCACATAAGTTTACATGTAAGCACTGGTAATAGATATGTTGTTGAAGGACTACAACAAATGTAAGCACCTACGAGCTGTTGTAAGAGACCCAACATGAGTTTAACATATTGTCTACAAGTAAATACAAGAAAAATGGCGATAAATGTGAGTTACTATGGGCAGCATTAAATGATCCGCATTCAACACAACTTGCCCACACATAATAGTAGAAGACTTGCGATTCATACAATGAACCTATCTATAACCATTGATGGTGAATGTATTGCCAATATAGTGAATCTTTTACAGGCATGAAACAGAAGGTCATGGAGAAAGCAAATGCTCACTGGAAATGATAGGTGATATATCATAATGATAATCATTAACAGGAAATGGATGCTACGATACCCTTTCAGTCAATAATCAATTAATGACTGAAAAGTACATTGATCTACGATAAGTATAGATAGTTGTTATGCAGCAAAAAGGTAAGCGCCTACTAGTGGTTATAAAAGACCCGTCATACACCCAACATGCTATCTATAAGTAAAAATGAAAAAGAACTATAACAAAATGTAGAAGACTTTCATCCAATAGAAACACCTACAAGCCACTACAGCACTTCATAATTCATACAAGGCTGGTATCGGAGGAGTGTTTAGAGACCACTTTGGAAGGTTTTTATTAGCCTTTGGAAAACCTGTTACTCACTGGGACTCGGCTACAGTGAAGCTTCAAGCAATACTAGCAATCAAACAAGTGATTAAAGAATGGATGCTTGACATGAAGGTCTCATCATTGAAGGAGATAACATGAATGTGATCAATTTCTTCAAGGAGTTGGTGAAGAAAGGCGGTAATGACTCGATTGACCTCTCTTTTATTAAAGATTTTGATTTTGTTATTTTTAAATATGTTAGTAGAGAAAGCAATAAGTTATTCGATCTTTGTGCTAATTTAGCTTGCTTTAGCTGTTTTATTTGGGATGATGTTACTTTAAGGAATATCCCTCCTCCTTTCTTTTCTTTGTTAGAAAAGGAGTCGGATACTTGTAGAGAGTAAGACTGTTTTATATTTTTATTAAATAAAGCTTTTTAGCTTTTCTTTTCAAAAAAAAAAACGAGAATAATCGTAGAAGAAAAATGTGCTGGAAATTTGAGAGCCAACAGATTTCTAACACAAAATTATTAGTTATATAAATTAATAAATCTCTTCACATTCTTGGAATGTTTTAATACAAATTAAAATTTCGATTATATTTCTCCAAAAAAAAAAAAGTATACACATATTTCTCTAATTCTAAATATTATAATATATATAGTCAAGTTTTCTTTTATAAATGCCACTCCAAAATAAATTTAAATTGAATATCAATACTAAAATAAATATAAATCTTAATATAAAATAAATGATGATAAAAAATAATTTAAAAATTTTGCTTATATGATTTGTAATTTACAAAATATCTATCAAAATATATGAAAATTTAATTTAAAAGAAAAATATTTTTGGTGGGGACAAGAAATATAGGAGAGCCTATACCCCTCGCTCGCACAAGAGGGGTGGGACGACACAAAAACGAAGAGACACGACTTGAGACGAAATTCAAGATGAGAAGAGAGAAGAGAACAAACTCTTACATAGACCTGTCAAAAACGGGTCACCGGTCGGGTTCGGGTCCAACCCGAAATTGACAGGGGTTCAAACGGGTTAAAAATTTGAACCTGGACCCGACCCGGGTAGGTAAACAAGTCAGAAATTCGAACCCGGACCCTACCCAGCATAATTATCAACTAATTATTATTAATTATGAGATAAGATAATACTTACATGCTAAATGTTTAAATATCTTGAATTTAATATGTAAAAAATTGTAAATATAAATAAATATATAATTTTTAATATTAAGAATTCATAATTAAAAAGAAAAAAAAGTCTTTAAAATACCATATAATAAAGAATTTTAGCCACATCCATCTCAATTTATGATACAAGAAATAAGATAATAAAATTGCATAAATTTCTCTAATTGTGAAGAATTACTCATTATCCATAGCATAGCATGAACAAAGACATTAATGTTTTGTTTGAGATAACTTTCATACTGTTTTATAAAACAAATTTTTAGTATACAAATTTCTTAAACTAAAAAAAATTATACTAATAAGCTGCTTCAGAAAACAGTAACAAAGCTGTGTTTGGAATGACTTTCTTACTGTTTTTTTGTAAATTTTTTTTGAATGTTTTAGATAGTAAGAAAGCTATTTCAAAGTAGTATACTTTGGCTTGACAACGAAAGGAGAACGAATCAACCTGATCATATGAACGAATCATAATATTAGTCTGAACAAACATGAATAACGTTATCCTCTCTGAAGTGGAGACTTGATTACTGTGCACTAAATATCAAATGGATGAAGATGGAACTTCTGTTGAGCTTATATGCTTGTAAGACTTCTACAGCCCATTCAAATTTTAGAAGTTATACAAGCTTCCTTCAAGGACTCAGCCATACTTATCTGGAGTAGTGCGGTAGAGAATTTTGACCATACAAGTCTCTATCTGGGAATCTCATCCTTTTCCTCATGGAACTTCCATTCAAATTGCCATCTTCCTCCCTGGTTTCAAAATTTCGCACCTTCTTAGCATATTGGTGTGTTATTCTTTTTGTTAGGAAGGTCCTTTGCTTTCGAGCCGCCGCGATCTCATCATCGACAAGTATGCTTTCCCTCGGAAATGGTTCATCATCCACCAATTGCCAATTATAGATGATATTGCTGTTGAAACCGAATTGCTGGGTTACAGATTCACCTGCTCCAGGAAGCAGCTTGTTGAATGTTAGTTCACCATTAGACCCGCCTTTTCGATCGAGGAGAAGTGGATCGGGTCGAATTATGGTTCCAAGAATGCTCTTTTGAGAACCCAAGGACTTTATAGTTCTTGCATCAGTCAATGAAGAGTAAGCCACTGCAAAGGCCGACCTCACCTGTATCAAAAAGATGATTTCTGATATAGTTGAGACAATTTGGTTTTGCATGTAAGTTAAGAATAAAAATCGCTTAATCAAAATCAGAAAAGCTGAGCATAATGAAGGTAAAAATGTCAGAGTAGTTGAGTTTAGAATATGCAATGGAATTCAATACAATAAAGAAACTTCCAAATTACATCTTTCAACAATCAGCCAATGAATAACATGCAGTGTTAAGCATAGCGTAGAAGTTTATTTTATCCTGCATCAAAACCGAACCATTGTTGCTATTACAATCTTTCATTTGGACCTTTTTGAACAAAGGGCAAAGAAACTCATGGTTTCAATTCCAATTTGAGAAAATTTTGCATTCAAATTCCAGCAGGCTAAAGATCTTTAATTTTTTAAATCTATTCCAAGACCCTGATGGGTTTTCACCGCCCATATAATAAGAACTAAATAAGTCGAGTTTTCTACTAAAAGAAATCTCCCTGTTCCGTGATTGAAAAAGCCTTGCACAGGAAAAGTAAAATTATTAACTGAAATGCGGGCTTCAACCATGTTCAGCTGCTGTATAACAGATTTTCCTAAAAATAACAAAAAAAAAACATTTACTTTACCCCATAACGGTTAAATTGGAAAAGCTAGCTATCAGAAATAATTAAAACAAGCTCTTCGCCAGACCGACAGTTCAGTTATCTTTAGTTGACAAGCCCAAATGTCAACAAAAAGATACGATATGTTCTAGTTAGCTCATAGATCAAAAATTCAATTATTAATAAAAATGACAAAGGTTGATACTCGCATATGCCTTCGCATGTATTTAATAAATAGCTTATAGGTTATAATAAAGGAATTGAATTTGCCCTCAAAGAGGGTCCACAGCAGAACTCACCTAATGAACCGAAAGATGCTACTCGTAAGAGAACTCACTCACCATGGTTTAAAATTGCGCAATATGAGGCTCGCCTTTGCGCAATTCCAGTAAAAAACGCCTCGATGCTTACGCCTCGAGGTTTTTTTATGAGGCTTGCGCCTCAACTTGGTTGAGGCCCGCCTCGCCTCACTGGAATGAGGCTTACGCCTCACGCTATATATATTAAAACTTACATAAATCTTGAAGTAAATACCCGACATTGGACTCTATAGGAGAGGAGGAAGGGAAGAGAGCAGTTCATCAGAATGATGATTCAGATGAAGAATCCCTTAGTGATGACAGTGTTGATGACTTATGAGTTCTTATGTGATATGTCATTGCTATTTGTTTTTGGAAATTGGAATTATATGTTAATGAAAAGAATACTGGGATTTGAGAAAGATAGAATTTTGAGTTGAACTATATTTCATGTTGTCTTATTATTGGGATATTTTGATTTCAATCCATATCTTCTGCTTTTTTATGTTCTATATTATTCACTCGTTAGTATATAAAAAATTTATCATTTTATGTTTACGCAATCTTTTGATTTTGAGGCTTACGCCTCAAAACGCCTTGAGGCTTATACACATCGCCTCACAAATGAAAAACGCCTCAATACCCAAATATGCAATTTTAAACATTGTCAGCCACTATGATCAATAGGCACTACTTGTCCAGGCCCACCAAAAAGCTCACCCTTTTAACTTGGCAGATTAAGGATTCCTCATCAAGTTAGCTTTAGCACTCACCACATATCTAAACCACTATATCAGTTACTCGTTCTCTCCTAGCACCATCATTTCATGAAAGCTCGTCAAGCTTAGCTACAAGAAAGTGAGTAACCTTCAACTTATGATGCACAGACACGAACACGGCGACATGGATATGACACGACACGGACATGGGACACGTCAATTATTGAAAATATAGGACACAGATACGGGTTGGACACGGTATTATAGTTTTTATATTAAAAAAATAGTGTATAAAAATTAAATAAGTATAATTTTAAAAATAATTTGAAAACAATAAGTCATTTAACTAGAATTTGTGCTTAAAATGATTGTATTAGGATGTCGAGAATCAGGCGTCGATGCCGTTTATCAGTCACCGAGAGAGGAGATGAAAATACCTTCACTGCAAAAAAGAAATTAAAATGAGAATATTCGATGATTGGGTATTAAGTGTGGACGTTGATTTGATGTTGTGGATAGGAAATAAGAAATTTAGTTTAAATCCCGCCAAATACAAGAAATTATATTTAAAAAAATTCATAAAATATTTAAGATACGCATGTCGGACACGCGTGTCCAATTTGTATTTAATATTTTTTAATCGGACACGTTTTCGGCGTGTCCGCCACGTGTCGGAGGAGTATCGGACGTGTCGTGTTGGACACTGCACGGCTCTTTGAGAAGTGTCGGTGCATCATAGCCTTCAACTCATCTCGTCACGACCATTCAACTCAATGTCTCTCCTGTCTATGTACACCATATCACTCGTCTCTCTCTTTCTCATCAGGCGATCTGAGATTTCTCATACAAGTTGCTGACAACGTCAACAGGCTTGCCAGTCATAGGTCCCACATCTCAATGCTCGCCCACAGACTCATCCCAGCCTACTCGGCACTACTAAGCTTGCCCAAAGATCACTCCCTGTGGCCCTTCCAACCTTGCTCTCCTTCAGAGAAACAAAGATGACAGGTGTATAGGGTAATTTTGTAGCTTTGTACGGGTGTTCCATGTAGCAATGTACTTTTCTCTTTTATGTAGACTTTCTTGTAACCCTCAAAATCTTATAAATAAGGGGTGATGAGGTAGTTTGAGAATTTTTTTATTGATTCTAGTGGACTCCATGATGGTTTGAGATTCATAATTTTCTTGAGCTTTTATAGATTCTCTTCCTCTCAAGTTTTCTTCCTACTCTCCATTCCCACACACGTTCCGGCTCGCTAGCTCACCAGATAGGCCTGCTAGTAAAGTCGGGTGTCACTTATGGGCATAAATTGGATCCAACAAAAGGTGCAAGCTCTTTAAGATCAGAACCTTCTAAAAATAATTGGTATTTAAATTAATGGGCACTGACTTGTAAAAAAATCAGGCTTAATAAAAAGATTTAGATGGATTCATATTCAAATTCCATGAAACCAATATTTAACAGCAAGCTCAAAAATATCATGAAGAACCATTTTTTACCAAATGAATCATCAGCATTTTGCAAATGCAGAAAGAGCCGTTGAATTAAAAGTATACTCAAAATAAAAATAGAGCAATAGGACTTCAATCCACAATTAATTCGTATCACCAAACTAAAAGGTTGAACTAGTAATAAACACATGGGAAACAGTGTTCGACAAGAACTGTACAAATGATCCATGCCATGGTCCACTTGAAATACAAAAGGCTACTTTAATAGAAGATAATAAAAAGGTTGATCATGAAGAAGTATAACCTTGTAATAGTTGTATGAATTTTTCCCGATGTCATTATCTGGATCCTACATTACAGGAAAACCATACAATATTTTTTCCAAAGGATGTAAGAAACCAGCTCATAACGACAAAATGAATATATATATATATATATATATATATATAAAATTAAAAACAATATGCAGTCAACCTGAGGATCCTCAATAGCAAGAAGATACGGCCTTCCTGTGTTGAAAAACCTACAAAATATTCCTTTAAAAGTTATCTTTGAATAGAAATTCATAATAAATGCTAAAAAATAACATCGAATGAAGCCTAGATAAGGAATTGGAAAATTTAGAGCCCATTCAGGCAACTTGGGTAACAAGGAAGAAGATGTACCCTCTATCACACTTTAAGAAAAATGTGCTTGATGACTTGCAAGAAACACCAACATCCGAAGTGTTCAATTTGCGTCCATAAAATTCAAAAAACTTTACCTGACTTCATGAAAAGCAGCACCGAGATGAGATCTCAGACAGAAAAATAATAAACAGCTATTTAAATCAATTAATTCAAATACATAATAGATGTAATCTAACTCAATAAAAACCTCTTAGAAGCATAAAATAAAATTGAAGGATGGTATTACTTTTAAATAGTAAAAATTTGCAATAAAAAACCATTATTTATCCAGATCAATTAGACACTGTGCAGCAAACTATTAACACATCATGGGTTGGATGCTTATTGTCGCTAGAAAGTGTAAGTTAAACATTTAAATAACACTCGAGGAATTACCTGACATAGCAAGTAAAATTGGTAAGCAAGATGACTTAGCAAAGCAAGATAAGGATAAACATAATTGCACACAATTGTTAAAAAAAAAAAAGTCAGAAAACTAAAGATGAATGTTAGGCAAATTAATATAAATCTTCCTTAACTTTAACCTGAGATCACCTTGCATATTAACCCAGCTGCAATCCGACAAATGAAATTGGCCTTCATATCCTCCTTTACTAGCACAAGTCGTGGACCTCAACAGATGATGCAAATGGCCATGCATCTCATGGAAGATGAAAAGTTAGATTTTGTGATGCGGACAACTAGATAGAAAGAGCCAAGAGAGGAGAACACTAGGACTAGTAGAACATTTCTCAATTCAAAAATTAGAATGCCACCATTCAAACAAACACCAAAACAAACGAAAGCCAAACAAACGAAACAAATTAAAAATAAAAACAACTACCCTTAGAACAACTGACTAGCGGTTTCCTCAACAACAACAACAACAACATCAAGCATTTATCCCACTACGTGGGGTCGGCTACATGAATCATTTTTCTCCATTGGTTTCCTCACATGCAACAAAATAGTAGGTAATATAAAAGATGTGCTTAAAGGCTAAAGGCTTGCAAACCAAGGGTCCACCACAGCTACAAGGGCCAACGTCCACCAAAACTCCTCTGACAAATGCAACCAAACCGGCCAACCAACACCTCCAATAGCTCAAGAAGAAAGATACTAGTGGAGTGGAACTTGTGGAGAGAAGAAAAAGGTAAGAAGCAAAAGACGAAATTATAGAGAGGAAGAGAGAAATGGAACAAGCTCTCAAGCTTTTCCAAAGAAGAAACCCTCAGGTATTTTTAGAGACTTTGCTTAAATAATCAACAACATTTTATGCCTTAAAACACCTCAAATTTATAGGAGAAAATGGGGGCAGCCAAACACCCAAAACCACCTCCAACCAATCCAATCAGGACAGGGGAAATGGAAGGCCAACAGGCGGACCAGAAGCAGCACCCGAAGAGCCATACAGGGAACCGAAAAGGCAGGCACAGGAGACAGGAACGGGCACCACAGGGAACCGGAACAAGTAGCCAAAGGGGGAAGGAAACAACCACGGGAAAAGCAGCCATAATGGGGAAATCGAATGGCTACAGAGAAGGGGAAAGAGCACAATTCCACTCCACATAATGAGCTAAAAAGTGGGATAACTTTCCATAATAATGAGCTGAAAAAACAGCAGCTCAAGCATTAATGAGCTAAAACAAAGCTCTCAAAAGCATTAATGAGCAACCAAGCCGAAACCGAGAACCCACCAGCAGCCCAAGTGCCAAAACACCAAGATAGCTAGCACACCCAAAGATTGTCAAGCCCACGCACTACCTACTCATAATCATTGGATGTTTTCCATCATAGGGTAGCATAAATGAAAAATATATATATATAGCATTCAAATTACAATTAAACAAAAACTAAAAAAAAAACTGAAATTTGCATGCATCAATTCCCCCCTGATGGGAGAATCTTGTCTCCTGATGAGAATGCTTCAACAACTTTCTGATATAGATCCGGATGACGATTTTTTAACTCCGCTGCATCTATCCATGTACAATCAGTTAACGAACGGTTGCTCCATTTAACCAAGAACCTTTTGTGCTCGCCATATCTACTCTTAGTAGTCTTGATATCAATAACATCCTCAATCTGATCATCTCTATTTAGAACTGAAGTGAAAATTAGTAAAGCCTCAACCTCCACAGAATCATCTGAATTTCCTTCATGCAAAGAAAGGTCAAAATCATTAAATACAGGAGAAGTTCCAACAGTGATAAGGAGATCCAGGAGATAGGCATTCGTGCTCAATTTTCGTAGGATATGAAAAAGCCCAAGTTTCTTCCTGCTTAACTTGCCAAAAGTACCAACAGGAAATCGTTGACGAAGAAAATAAGCCATAACCAAATCACCCACTTTAAAATAAAATTTCCTCCAGTGTTTGTTAGAAGCAGATTTGTATTTAACATTTGTCATACGAGTTTTTCAAGGACTTGCTCTTGGATTGATTTGATATTAGGCTTACAAATGAGAAGGGAAAATAGTGGTGGCTATGCAAATAGAAATAGAATTTTCTTTTCTTTTTTTTTTGGGGGTGCTGATCCTACTGAGGGTAGTTGGCTAGGGAAGGCTAGCAGATCCAATTAAGAGCGGAGATTGAAATTAGAAGTTTAGTTAGTTTTACCAACCAACTAGCAAGTTACAACGTGCATTAGCACTGAAAATAAAATTTATTTTACGACTTACAAGCAAAAGTGCGACTAGATGCAAATTACTATAATTAAAACGCATGGACAATGATGTTACTAACAAAATTTATTGTCTATTCTTATCTATAAGTAAATATATAGTTCAAATGGGCAAATTATAGAAATATTGATCATGATATGCTGAAAGTAAATATAAAGTTCAAATGGGCAAAAGATATAAATGCCTTCCTGCAATTATTTAACTCAGAACTTTTTTTTAATTATATGGTTTGAAATAACCAAAGTTGTATAATTTCTAAATTTAAAGCTTATTTCTCAATTGTGTTGAACTACAGACAGATACTATTCATTCAATAGTTTCTCTTCAGATGTCATTAACCTATTATTTTAACGAATGTATTTTTAAACCTACCCAAAAGATATAGATTCAGACAAATATTAGGTTAAACAAAATTTGAATGAGATTTTGAATGCTCATTATAAGAGTTAAATAAAACTTTTCTTCTTTTTTTTTGAAAAAAAAAATGCATGATTGATTAGAAAAGGAGCAAAATGCTATCTGCAAAACTTTCTATTTTTTAATTTAAACTCTAGCACTATGATTTCTTGCAAATTATAGCATGAAAAATGTTGAAAATTAAAGACCAAAATTTAATAGATAAAGAAGAAATTTTTAGATTATCCAACATATGAAGAAAGAAGAGCAAGCAAGTACAATTTTAAGTACCAATTTAACTTCAATTTTGAAAAAAAAAAACAAACAATAAGCTATAATTTTATTATATATATATACTATATATAATCATAAGAGAAAAAAAGCTTTTTTCATTAAAAAAAAGCTACGTACAAATAAAAAAATATATCGTCTCAATAATAAATAAAATAATAATAACAAAACTAAAAAAAATGTGATAATAATATTTAAGGAAACTTTTAAAGCTGGATAGTAAATAATATATTCAAGAGCGTTAGAAAGTAAATGGGTAAAAAAATAGAAAATATTCATTCTAATATGCTGCATGCTAATGAGATTAATATACATTTTAATCAATGTTTAAAATTGTATAATCGGGTATTGAGGCATTTTTCGTTCGTGAGGCAAGGCGTAAGCCTCAAGGCGTTTTGAGTTTAGAGCGACTAATAAAGGTAGAGTGACAGATGATTTTAAAAATATCCATAATGGCTATGAGTTTAGAGCGACTAAAGGTAATAAGATCATATTAGATTTTGCTCTAGCTTATAATTTTATAATTTCTAATACCTTATTTATGAAAAGAGATGGACATCTCATCAATTATAGGAATGGACATAGTAAACCTCATATTATCTTATAAGAAAAATAGATCGGTTAGATTATTAAGTTTGTAAAACTATTCCAAGTGAAAGTTTATTTATCCAATATCGTTTATTAGTTTTGTACTTTAAGATGAAGAGATAGAATATTAAAAAAAAAGTAAATATTGTTCTAAGATTAGAGGTGGCATTTAATGAATGCTAATAGAAATATTTTTTAGAGTAAGATTCAGGATCTCAATATTTGGGTTGTTAATGAGGAAACTAATGTTATATGAGAAAAAGTAGCTGGTGATATTAAGAATGTGGCAAAGTATGTGCTTGGAAAACCAAAGAAAAAACTTTTAATAGTAAAAATAGTTGATGGTTGAATCTAAATATGCAAGAAAATATCAAAAACAAAGAAACTTTGCATACAAATTGATTTATATATAAAAACATAAAAATTGGGGAAGATATAGAGAGACCCGTAAGAACTCTAAGAAAGCAATATGCGATGCAAAAAAAAATATTTTTTTATGATTTATATAATAAATTAGATATTAAGGAAGATGAAAGATGTATGTATAAGACAATCAAGCAAAGAGATATGAGAAAGATCTAGTTTAAGTGAAGTGCATTAAAGATGAATATAAAAAAGTGTTTTTCTTAGAAGAAGATATTCAACATAGGTGAATGAGATTTTTCAATAAGCTTTCAATGAAGATTGTGAGAATACAATTGACTTTAGTGGCCTTAGGAATGTAAATAAAAATAGAAATTTCATTTTTTATTGTTGTATTTATAAAACCAAAGTTGGAGACACTTCAAAAAAATAAAGTGTGAAAAAGCAGTGGGATCTGATGATATTCCAATGGAGATGTAGAAATCCTTAGGAGATCAAAATATTTATTGACTTACTAAGCTTTTTAATATTATTTTGAAGACCAAAAAAATTGTAAAATGAGTGGAGTGTATTGGTTCTTATTTTTAAGAATAAGGTGATGCACAAGAGTGTGTGAATCATAGATGAATTAAGTTAATGTGTCATACATTAAAATTATGGGAGAGAGTAATTGAGCATAGGTTATGATGTGGTATTGATGTTTCTCAAGATCAATTTTGAATCATGTTGGATAGGTCTACTATATAAGCTATAAATTTGTTGATAGGTTTGATGGAGAAGTATAGAGAGAGCAAGGGGATCACATATGATATTTATTGATTTAGAGAAAGTATATGATGAAGTTCCAAGAGAAGTACTCTAGAGAGTTTTAGAAAAGAAATGAGTTAATGATGCTTATATTCAAATCATTAAGAATATATATACATGAGTTGTTACTTATTTCAAAAACAAGGTAGTTTGACCAAGTATTTTCCTATTTCAATTGAATTACATCAAAGATTAGCTTCAAGCCCATATCTTTAGCTTTATTCATGGATATTCTTACTAGACATTTGCAAGAGGATGTACCCTAGTGTAAGTTTTTTGCTGATGATATTCTTCTTATTGATAAGACAAGAGATGGAGTTGAAGGAAAACTTGAATTATGGAGATTAACCTTAGAGTCTAAAGGTTTTCTTTTGAGTAGACCTAAAACTGAATACATTGAGTGTAATTTTAGCAATAATAGATCTAGTGGCGGGATTGTGATAATAAGTGATCAAATAATTAAAAAATTGTGCACGTTTTAGATATCTCAGGTCTATTATTCATAGTGATGATGAAACAGATGAAAATGTTATTAATATAATTCAAATTGGACGGTCGAGGTGCAGAAATGCATCAGGCCTATTGTGTGATAGAACAATACGCCTCAAATTTAAGAGAAAATTTTATAAAATGGTTGTGATACATGCAATGCTTTATGGCGCAAAATGTTGGCCATTAAAAGAAAAGCATAAAATTAACGTAAGTGCTGTAGAGATAAGGATGGTTAAGTGGATGTGGCTTTACGCTTAGAGAGAAAATGTCAAATGAGTATATATGTGAAAAGGTTGGAGTAGCTCTAGTGGCACATAAGATTTGAGTTAGTCGCCTTAGATGGTTTGGTCACATGGAATTTTTATTTGGTCAGGTGACCGAACGTAGAGCTACGTTCGACCGGCACTGAGATGGCGCCACGTAGCATGCACAAAATCATGTATTTGTCGATTTGCTCGGCAATAATGAGAAATACCATTATGTGAAGACAAATACCGAGCAATACAGAGCAATACCGAGTTTTTTTTAGAAAAAATCGGTATTGCTCGGTATTACTTGGTATTGGTCTTCACAGAGCGGTATTTCTCGTTATTGCCAAGCAATACCGAGCAAATACCGAGTAACTCAGTGGTGACCGAACATAGAGCTACGTCCGGTAATAATTGTTCTGGTCACATGAAGTATCGGCCTTTCGATAACCCAGTTAGGAGATTAGATGTATTAGATTTGGCCTATGATAAGAAAGATAGAAGTAAACCTAAAAAAAAATTGGTTAGTAAGTATTAAAAATGACCTTTTTAATTAGATTTAAATGAGAATTTGACTCAACATAATAGAGAAAAAAGATTCATGTAGCTGACCTCACATAGTGGGATAAAAGGCTTTTTGTTATTGTAATGATATTTGTTCATTACTAGTCTACTCTCTGAAAAAAGTAAACATTTTTAGCATCTTGGGCTGAAATTACAGCTTCAAAGGTTATAGTCAGGGCAATCAGGTATTCATCATTATGCGAAATACCATTGAATTCCTTCATTAAAACCCCGTATACCATCTATATTCTTGCATAGAGTTTCTTGTAAGAAGGGAAAACGCCTTATCTTTCAAAGTAATCAAACTGAAAAACATTAGAACACATACCAAGAGGATTCCCAAATTCTGCTCCATGGACTTTTGGACCCCTTGCATATCTTGTGATCTCCTTTGTATCTGGGTAAAAAATTGCTTTTGAGAAGACAGAACTGATCAACCAACTGAATCCAGAGATGACAGCATAGATGAGCAGTCATCTATACAGTAATACAAATAATCCGTATACACTTAACCAAAATAAAGATGAAAACACACATAACAAATTCTATAACAGAGAGAGGCATGCTAAATGGTTACATTAAACCTATATAATATGGACTATAATAACTTCAATTGTAGAGTTAAACTTTGATGTCACAATGCAAAAGTTCCAGGGTTTATTTGTGGCAAGAGAATGCCACGGATAATTGCAAATTTTATAAAAGTTTAGTTCGAACTACTACAATAAAAGAATTTACATGTGGCAATGAAATTGAGTGATTGAAATGAGAAAGTTAAGATGGAAAGTTTGTGAAATTATGAAGGATAGGAGTTACGACTTACGACATAAGAAGATAAGATGGTAGAAATAAGACCTAAATGACTTAGGCATGCAAAACCAAAGCAGAAGATGCACCAACATGGCATATCAACTGAATAAACTCGAAAGGAATACAAACAAAATGGATGGATCAAAAAGTGGCATGGTTGGTAGTTGAGAAAAAACGCCAAGCATAGACACCTCAAATATTTCAACAAGAACAACGAAGGATGAGGATTTATAAAGCCAAACCAAATAATTGGGAAAACGTTAAAAACGAAGATAATGATAATGACATGCCAGCCACAATTCTGCGCAAATTCTTATGAAAACATCTAAGCATACAGCATATTCTAATGGGAAAGTAAAATCAGAGCATCATATGTAAAATATATCTCAGGAAGAAAATATGACACTTTCCATTTTGATTCTAATTTCTAACAAATGCAGATATGTACCTGTAAGTGTGCTATCAGCATTGCAAGAAGCGCATATGAACCAATTCCACCTGAATATACCTGCAAGTGAAATTAGAGAACGAAAAATGACTGGACAGTAAATCAAAAGGTGATTGATGAAAATAAAGCATCAAATTATCAATATCTTAAACCTCATTCAGTTCCCGCTGCTGGAGAAACACTTTCAAAATCAAACACAAGTGCCGTAGAGGAGGAATCTTTTCCACAGCATCCTGGATAAGGATTACATCGAACTATTAATTAAATATTAAATTAAATTCACAATTAAAATAACATCAACTAGCCATAGCCCATGGGACAATTATCAGGAATTAACACCTCTAACAAATAAATCAAGGATTGAAGGATTAAATTCCAGGAAAGTCCAAAGAAAAAAAAAATGTGATCGTAGTGAGATGCGGTGATCATCAATAATAGGTATAACTCTCCAAAAAAAGAGACATGCTTCTTGTCCAGGAAAAAATAAAGCATGCTTGCAGTTTGCAAAATTTTAGCATGCAGGGAAAAACTCTTGTTTTTATAAAACTTAATAGAGTTTACATGATATTTGCATTTTTTGAATAAAAATAAAAATATTTTCAAAAATTTCCATTTTATCCCTACGCCCACTATCAAAAGATCCTTTCCATAGATGTGTAAAAATGATAAGAACATTTGACAAACCAACATAATGCAGCACACTCCTCCCCCATAACTCTGTATGTATGTTTTTATACCAAAAAAAATAAGCTTAAGGTTTAATTCCTCACACGCCAAACCTCCAATCCAAACATACAGCAAACACTATACTACGCTCACTAAGCCTCTCTAGCATGGCCGTCACCACTCCTCTCGAGGTTTCTAGCACCCTGCACCCTTTCCAATGAAATACTAAAGTGTGCTCACCAAGCCTCATAGTGAGGTAATTACCTCTGCTTCAAATTGTTCAGCTTGCTGCTCACACACCCTTACCCCACCATTTCAAGCAGCTTCCGGTGTTATTCATCACAGGCACCTCTCAGATTAAACCCTCAATGTACAACTCCCCTTCTCACTCTCTCTAATGAAGCCATGCTCAATCTTATTAGATAATTGAAGGAAAGTCATAATCAAAATAACTGTGAGAGCATCATATGAACAGAATAAAGGTGAAAGCAACAGCAACAGCAGCTCCAATATTCATTGTTTGCCACTACTTATGCTGATTCAATCAGCACAATACAATTCTAATCTCTTCTTTAATCACAGTCACTTGGTTATAACAAACTCTGCTATTATTCTAATTTAACTTTCCTCTCTTTATATACATATAAAGAGCATGTACTGTTTCAAGAGTGGGTTGAAAGAAAAGACATTGGGTTATTTCTTCTTCCCCCTGTTTTGGCAAATGAAAGACATTGGGTTATTTCTTATTCCATCTGTTTTGGCAAATGAAAGGCGGATGTGTTATACCCGAACCACCAGATGCAGTTAACGCCATTGAGGGTTCAAATTTTTGAACAGCTTGAAGTTCTAGAGCAGCTTCATTTGCAAAATTTATTTCCTCACTATACAATAAGGAGTAGAAATCATCCAAACTGAGGGTTGAACGTTAGTTCTGATCACCGTTTTGAATGTCTGATGAGAAGAAGAAAGTCCATTAAGAGTATATAATATAATGTCTCTGGGACACCCTGCAGCATTTATAGTGTCAACTTTCAATTTAATTTCTGAAAAACATTGCTACATAACTTTGTTGTTTAATGATATATGATGGAACTCATTTTTCAACTGAATTATGCGGGAACGGTTGATAGATTGAAGTGTTTTATCCATTGTTTATAGTTGCGCAATATAAGGCTCGCCTCAACACAATTTCAATGAAAAATACCTTGAGGCTTACGCCTCAAGCTTTTTTTTTACAAGGCTTGCGCCTCAACTTGGTTGAGGCCTACCTTGAGGTGTGCCTCGACTCGCTAGCTTGAGGCATACGCTTCACCCTATTTATAAACATTTTTATTAAAACTTAGCTAAATAATAAACTAAAACCTGGAGCAAAACAAACCTTAATGCACCCCCGAACCTCAACAACTTCCTCTTGATTGCCTCAACCTCCAGACCGCCACTATCGTAGCCACCGCCGGAGATCACTTGAAAGCCACACGTCAACATCACCTCCTTTAAAACTTTGGGAGTATTTTTCTCATCTTTATATTAATGGCAAACATTTATAAAAGATTGAATATGACTAAAATAAATAAAGAAGCAAATTAGAAGGCAATTGACTCCACAGGATGAGACAGTGGAGAGAACAATTTGTTATGACTACGACTCAAATAAAGACCTCCTCAGTGATGGCCATATATATGATTCTAAGTTGTTGCCAACTATTTTAACTTTTTTTAGGAATTAATTGTGAATGAACAGGGAACTGAGAAAGAATAAATTAAAGTTGAACTTGATGTTATATGATACTTTTATGCAATTAAAGTTGTACTTGATGTTATATGATACTTTTATGCAATTCTTATATTTTATATTGTTTTGCTTTTGGATTTCAATTTTATTTCACACAATTTATTACTTGTCACTTTACGTCTGTACAATTTTTTTTCATATGTATGTCAATTTGTTACTACTTTAAAGTTCAAAAAGTTGATACGTCATTCTTTAACATATTAATTGGGTATTATATAAAAAATCACTTTTAATATTTATTTTCACTTTATGCAATTTGTAAATTTTTAGACTCATGCCTCAAAACGCCTTGAGGCTTACACCTAGTTTTACAAATAAAAATTGTCTCAATACCCAATTGTAAAATTTTAAACCTTGCTTTTATCAATTGTATTTCATATTTTAGCACATGAATCAAGGTTCAAAATATAAGGCAGCAACGATGTAGAGATTGAGAAAAATAATGCCATTACGAGATTTTGATCGACGAGCATCCAAGTGGAATAATGAGGATTAGGAACTACTTCACCAGCTGCAGTACTTATCTGTTGAGAAGGACGAGCAACTGTGCCATCCAAATAACCTTCAAATCCATTTGCTCGAAAAAGCTTAAGCCCATGAGACCTCAAGGTGAGGTGATTGTCAGTTGAATAGTGATTACATTTTTAATGGTTGACATAAAAAAATTTAAGTATTGGAGAAATAGGTAAGCATTCGGTTAATAGAAAAACATCTGTATTATTGCTCATATAAGTTTTCGAAGCCATGATGTAAAAAGACAGAAACAGGTCCTTGAAATATGAATGTCGTGAGACTTATTTTGGCTCTAATACCATGTGAAGATTGTTGCATATAGAAGTAGACATTATACCTTGTTGATGAATTAGTTGTTCTTGAATTCATTCTTCATACAAATATATTAAAAAATAACAAAGAACTAAAAATAGAGGAAAGAAAAAATAAAACCCAGTGTCTTTCCTTTCAACTCAAGTTTAAAATAATTCATATTATTTATATATATATAAAGAGGAAAGCTAAATCGGCATAATAGCAAAGCTTGTTATAACCAAGTGATTGTGATAAAAGAAAAGGTTAGAATTGTATGGTACTGATTGAATTAGCATAAGTAGTCGCAAACAGTGAATATAGGCGTTGTTGTTGTTGTTGTCGCCTTTATTCTCAAACACCTACTTCAATACATTCAAGGAACCTCCGATTATGGTCTTCCAATTACTCATGGTAATTCACATTTGCGAGCTTATTCTGACTCCGATTGGACGAAAGATAAGATAGATAGAAAATCTACAACTGGTTATTGTGCATATCTTGAAAACACACTAATCTCTTAGTGCATTAAGAAATGGTCTATTGTCGCTCATTCCTCAACTAAAGCTGAATATCGTAATATAGCTACAATTGCAGCTGATCTTATTTGGTTAGTCATTTCTTAAGTGAATTACAGTTTCCTATTTCTCAACCGACGTATAACATTTCCACTCTTTGATGCAACCAAAAATTACAAACAAAATAAGATGCTAAGGTTGAAAACTCAAGAGACTACAAGATTGCCAAAAAAATAAGACTTCCTTACAATATAGCTTAAACATACACAAAACAACTTCAAATACAAAAATACAACACTACTTTCAACTTGTAAACAACACAACCAACTTACTATTAATAAAATTTAGAGAAGAATGATACAATTGGAAGGGATACCGTGGAGAGAAGAAAGAGATCGGAGAACGAGACGAATTATAAGAAGAGAGGGACGTAGAAGACAATAGCTCACAAGCTATTCCAAACCCGTAGGTTTCATGCTCCAAAAGTTTTCATTTCTAAAACTCTTAATAGCAGCAAACAACCACCTATAAATAGGGAAAAAAATACAAACAGCCCCCCAAAAGCTGCCGCCTCAAGACTCCAATGGGAGCAGCCAAAGCATGAGAAATATCCAAGAGAGAGGCACAGCCAGCCAGGAACCAAAAAACCAAAAAACCATTAGCCAGCATAGGATCTGAACAGCCCAAAAAACCAACAACCAACCCCCAAAAAGGTGCCACCCCAAGCCTCCAATGGGAACAACCAAAGCATGGAAAATACCCAAGAGACAGGCACGGCCAGCCCAGGAACCAAACAACCACCTCAGGATCCGAACAGCTAGCCAAAACATGGGAAAAATGAGCCAAGCCCAATAGGAAAATTTCATACCAAGACCAAATTCCCAAAAAAAATCAAAGCCAAAGGAGCAACTTTGGGAATTAAAAATCAGCATGGTGAACACCAATAGGCAGGAACACCAATAGGCAAGTTTTGCCTACATCAATTCTCCCCATGTGGAAAATTCTCAACTCCTGATGAGATCGCCTTAAAACTTCCAAGATGCTCCAAAGGCGTCACTCATGCTTCCTGAATTAACATGTCATACTTTCTTTTGATGATCTCCTTTTCTCGTTCAAATTCGAACAGGAGTTGAAGCATCTTAGCTTCAAATCTCTCGGCACTGAAATGCAGTTGCCTTTGAATCTTGAGAAGGTCGTTTTGTAGAGGAGATTAGAAGAATATGCTCGAGGTGGAATCCATTTTATTGTTGGAAGCATGTCCTCACGAATCCAAGGCATAGATAAATGACTTTCTTGTTTGCCATCAACTTGATTGTTTTGACTTTCCATTTTTTTTTAAAAAAAGACACTATTTGATTTAAAATGTGTGGTTTTAAAAAATATTAATTTTCTTTGGGAAAGTTTAATTTCTTAAATTTTAAAATTGAATGTGTCATTATGAATCATATATCACT